TATTTCCTGGGACGCGCTAGACTCCGGCAGGGTTGTGTCCTCTCACCTTCTCTGTTTCTCGTGTACATGGACAGGATCTGTAGGCGCAGCCTCGGCCTGGAGGGGGTCAACATCGGTGACGTCACGACAGGAGCTCCAGAGCGTGGTCGATCGGTTCGACTTCGAATGCCCTGTGGCCGGAATGAAACTGAGCGTCTCCAAGACACAGGTAATGGTGCTCGGTGCACCCTGCATATCAGTGGGGTCCCACTGGAACAGGTGGAGAAGTTCAAGTATCTCGGGATCTGCTTCTCGAGTGACGGGCGATACGGAAACGAGATCGACAACCACATCTCCAAGGCTTCTGCAGTTCTGCGGGAACTTTGGTTACTGGATCTGAAGTTTCTAGGGAAGGAAAACTCTCGGTTTTTAAGAGTGTTTATCTCCCCCTCACCCTCACCTATGGTTATGAACTTTGGGTAATGACCGAAATCACCAGATCGCGAATACAAACTGCCGAAATGAGGTTCTTGCGTCGAGTGGGTATCGTGACGCGCCGTGATCGGATGCGGAACTTTGCCATCCGTGAAAGTCTCCACGTCGAGCAGCTGCTTCTCCAGATCGAGAGGTCTCAGGCCAGGTGGTTTGGTCACGTCTGCCGCATGCCCCCTGAAAGGCTCCCAAGAGGAGTCTTCCAGGCCGAGATGACCGGTAAAAGACCTGTCGGTAGACCTCGTACAAGGTGGAGTGATTACGTCGCTCGGCTTTGTCAAGAGAGGCTCGGCATCCCACCAGCTAAGCGTGAGTCTGTTGCCCAAGATCGAGATCACAGGAGGACGCTCCTGGGAATGCTCGAACAGCGACCCCATTAAGTTGGGAAAAGCCGCCAAGAAAATGTATGTAATGTATGTAAGCGTGTCTGTCTAGTCATAGTTGAAATATTCCATGTTGAATGACTGCAGTGGACTGCAGTGACTACATGGACATCCTGTAAGCTTCTCTCAGGTTTCTATGAGGGGTTCTATAACATAAGGTCGAAAGGCACAATGTCGTCGGATTTTATGTCGAATAACAAAAGCGTCGAATGCCACATAAGATTGAATGAAAAACGGTCGAATGGGCATAATGTTACAATACTGATGGCGTCGAAACGTGGAAAAACGTCTAATCTTCAAGATGTCGAAATCCGGTTATTTCTTTCCGTTCCTTGGGTCCTAGTTCGTAAAATCAGAAAAAGGAGATTTCTTATTTCTTCTTTGCTCATTTGAGGCAGCAAAGACTTCCTTGTCGATTCCATGTTACTTAGTCGAGAGACACTCCTCCGCCACTTCGACTGGATGATTTATTGAAAAATTTTCTTCGAAACGTTCTATCGAAGAAGTGGCGGGGGGGAAGTGTCCGTCGAGGAAACGTCTTTCGAAGAATTGACGTGGAACCACTTTGTCAACCTATCATCTGTCTGCATCAGTGAAGTGAGGATGAACATGAAAAGCGAGGATTTGGAATTTTAAATGCGGCATCTTAACGGTTATCACATTTAGAACCGCCAATTAGTTTGCCTTTCTTTTTGGGCCCTGTACCTAGAGTAACTTTCCCGTGTTCGACATGACGTGAATTCATTGACTGAATAAATAAAAGTCCTATTCGACTTTTCCCTCATTCGACATTTTGACTTTCACCATTTCATTCTATTCGACGTTCAGTAATTCGACATAGTTGGTAATCGACAATCGGACTCTCGACATGTGGGTTTTCGACATTTTGACGGGATACGAATTCGGTGCCTCAAGGGCGTCATAATCTTCTCAAGAGACATTCATGTTCCGAAACATCAAAACCGTATTTACATTTCCCATCTGTCGCTGGTTTTAAGAGGGAACAGGGATGAAAGGAGACACTCAAGGAGATATATGAGAAAGAAGAGAAATGAAATAAATGATCAATGGCTTGTGCCAAAATACATTTGACGTGCCCGATGTGCCCTAGACTTTAAGTATCTTTTTCCAAACACAAATAATTACATTGAGGGAGGAAACCCCAAGATATGACTGAAATGAAATGAAACATCCATTCCAGCATTTTTGCTACACCGTCTCCTGCTCCTCTCTCTTCCTCTCTTGTTCATCCTCGGCATCTCCTGAAAAGGAAAGAATTAAGGAGTTCCTTAGAGGTCTCAAGAAAACGTAAGGTTGAACAATGAAACATCGCTCCTTATCTCGTTTAATGGCCCAGATCACTTAAAAAAAAAACTATTTAAATCTCTTCAAAGAAGGTTCGCAAAAGAGAGAAACTTGTGGGAACAAGTTGATAACAACATAACGTTCCATGGCAATTCCGATCTGCTGATCAGTTCTTGAACATTACAAACTAAAATCAGTGCCAAATCAGTTAGAGCTTAAATTTGCAAGGGAACTAAAATGTAAAAGACCCCATGGTCGAATATGGACAATTTGAATTATCTGATTACTTTTATTTCATGTTAGAGGTATGCGATGCCGCATGCAAGTTATTTCACTTAGTTTTCACTCGGTCACCCCTCCTCGTGGAAGAATGAAGCCAATAAATCCTCGTGTTCATGGATGAGAATGACTTTGATGACCAATAATGAGGCCTTTGCGTTCTCGATTCTCGGATATTCCGTCAGGCAAAGAACTGCATTTGTTGCGATGGCCCGAAAGACAGCGAAAATGAGTGAAGCAAATGTAGTTTTCACAATAATATATTTTTTATTCTAAAAATGTACCTAGAGTTTAAAATGATAAACCCACATTGGCGGATATGACCAAAGTACATTAACCCTTTCAGGACCATAAGCATTGTGGGACAGCGACCTTAACTTTATGGACGTGTTTAGGGTGAAATGATGTGTAGATTCCGAAAAACATTGTTTGGAGGATATATCTCCCATAGTTCTCGAGATATAGCGTGGGACAAATATGTCCCACAACAAAAAAAATACATTTTTTCCGAAAAATAATAAACAAATGAGTGTCGAAATGAGAAAATATGTTAAAGTAAGGACATACGAAGGCAAACCCACCGACAATTTTTTTTTCGGCTGCATCGGTTTTTCAAAACAAAAAAATCAAAAATCACATTTCTGGACCCGTTTGGAAAAGATAATTTTGCTTAAAAGATAATTTTGCCTGGTGACGACACAAATTCGTATATTCACAAAACCTGCCATAATTTTGAAAGTCCATGACATACTGATTCCTTATTCGCAAAAAGCATCGCCCTAGACTAATTCATTCAAATTTGGGAGGATTTTGAAAATATGGGACAAATACGTACCTTGGTCCTGAAAGGGTTAAACTGATGTGACACTATCACAATAGCTTTTTAAACCGAAAATGTCATCAATGGAGGTACGAACTCTATATATATTTTTAACCTGACGTCAACCTTATGAATACTACGTAATTAGGAATACCGCTTTAACAACGCTACCTAGTTCGGATTAATACACGGCCCTACCAATCTTCATGTATTAACAGCGTCATCCCCACCCCCAACCAATAAACTGTTCACCCAATGCATTATTCCCTGTTTTTCTCATTGTTAAATGAACTTCACTCGTCCGTTTGCTCTTCAATCGAGTAATTACTGTTCAGCTCTACAGGAGATTCTCACAAAACATTGACTCATTGATAAGTATAACAGTATAACGAGCATTATGGCTAGCATGATCTTTTTGGCTCCCATCTCAAAAATTACGCTCGGCTTTGTCAAGAGAGGCTCGGCATCCCACCAGCTAAGCGTGAGTCTGTTGCCCAAGATCGAGATCACAGGAGGACGCTCCTGGGAATGCTCGAACAGCGACCCCATTAAGTTGGGAAAAGCGGCCAAGAAAATGTATGTAATGTATGTAAGCGTGTCTGTCTAGCCATAGTTGAAATATTCCATGTTGAATGACTGCAGTGGACTGCAGTGACTACATGGACATCCTGTAAGCTTCTCTCAGGTTTCTATAAGGGGTTATATAACATAAGGTCGAAAGGCACAATGTCGTCGGATTTTATGTCGAATAACAAAAGCGTCGAATGCCACATAAGATTGAATGAAAAACGTTCGAATGGGCATAATGTTACAATACTGATGGCGTCGAAACGTGCAAAAAACTTCTAATCTTCAAGATGTCGAAATCCGGTTATTCCTTTCCGTTCCTTGGGTCCTAGTTCGTAAAATCAGAAAAAGGAGATTTCTTATTTCATCTTTGCTCATTTGAGGCAGCAAAGACTTCCTTGTCGATTCCATGTTACTTCGTCGAGAGACACTCCTCCGCCACTTCGACTGGATGATTTATTGAAAATTTTTCTTCGAAACGTTCTATCGAAGAAGTGGCGGGGGGGAAGTGTCCGTCGAGGAAACGTCTTTCGAAGAATTGACGTGGAACCAATTTGTCAACCTATCATCTGTCTGCATCAGTGAAGTGAGGATGAATATGAAAAGCGAGGATTTGGAATTTTAAATGCGGCATCTTAACGGTTATCACATTTAGAACCGCCAATTAGTTTGCCTTTCTTTTTGGACCCTGTACCTAGAGTAACTTTCCCGTGTTCGACATGACGTGAATTCATTGACTGAATAAATAAAAGTCCTATTCGACTTTTCCCTCATTCGACATTTTGACCATTTCATTCTATTCGACGTTCAGTAATCGACAATCGGACTCTCGACATGTGGGTCTTCGACATTTTGACGGGATACGAATTCGGTGCCTCAAGAGCGTCATAATCTTCTCAAGAGACATTCATGTTCCATAACATCAAAACCGTATTTACATTTCCCATCTGTCGCTGGTTTTAAGAGGGAACAGGGATGAAAGGAGACACTCAAGGAGATATATGAGAAAGAAGAGAAATGAAATAAATGATCAATGGCTTGTGCCAAAACACATTTGACGTGCCCGATGTGCCCTAGACTTCAAATATCTTTTTCCAAACACAAATAATTACATTGAGGGAGGAAACCCCAAGATTTGACGGAAATGAAATGAAACATCCATTCCAGCATTTTTGCTACACCGTCTCCTGCTCCTCTCTCTCTCTCTCTTGTTCATCCTCGGCATCTCCTGAAAAGGAAAGAATTAAGGAGTTCCTTAGAGGTCTCAAGAGAACGTAAGGTTGAACAATGAAACATCGCTCCTTATCTCGTTTAATGGCCCAGATCACTTTTTTAAAAAAAACTATTTAAATCTCTTCAAAGAAGGTTCGCAAAAGAAAATTGTGGGAACAAGTTGATAACAACATAAAGTTCCATGGCAATTCCGATCTGCTGATCAGTTCTTGAACATTACAAACTAAAATCAGTGTCAAATCAGTTAGAGCTTAAATTTGCAAGGGAACTAAAATGTAAAAGACCCCATGGTCGAATATGGACAATTTGAATTATCTGATTACTTATATTTCATGTTAGAGGTATGCGATGCCGCATGCAAGTTATTTCACTTAGTTTTCACTCGGTCACCCCTCCTCGTGGAAGAATGAAGCCAATAAATCCTCGTGTTCATGGATGAGAATGACTTTGATGATATGGTTACGTAAATATTTTCATCATTTCAGAGTAGATAGGCGTAACTCACGTTGTCATGTGGTATAAGTAAATGATTTCTTTTTCGCAATCATAGAAGTCTTTCCGCTTAAATGAGATTCCAATTTTCAAACGCTGTATCGGATTCCCGGTAGTTTTACCCACTCTTATAATGTTTTCCTTAATTGGTTGATTGCATGTATTCATATTAAGATTCTGTATTTCGCCGTTAGCAAGGAAAAGGAATGAAGAAGATGAATGACAGTCGTAGAGATTTCGACTGAATGTTACTTGAAGGAATAAAATAAATAAATGGGGCTATTTCGTGAACACCTAAGAGATCCTTTGTTAGAGCCACATCATGAAAAAGAAATTACCCCAACATTCTCACATTATGGTGGACTGAGGGACACCTCCTTTTCCAAGAATGTCAAGCACCAGGAATCAGTTCTGATGGCGTAGCTTCCTGCCATGTCCACCCTCATTCCGTCAGTAAAATTGCTCGTGCAGGTGAAGAATATTTTTTCTCCATTCGGGGCTGGGTACTCGCCCGTCCATTCCAATAATGAGGCCTTTGCGTTCTCGATTCTCGGATATTCCGTCAGGCAAAGAACTGCATTTGTTGCGATGGCCCGAAAGACAGCGAAAATGAGTGAAGCAAATGTAGTTTTCACAATAATATATTTCTTATTCTAAAAATATACCTAGAGTTTAAAATGATAAACCCACACTGGCGGATATGACCATAGTACATTAACCCTATCAGGACCATAAGCATTGTGGGACAGCGACCTTAACTTTATTGACGTGTTTAGGGTGAAATGATGTGTAGATTCCGAAAAACTTTGTTTGGAGGCTATATCTCCCATAGTTCTCGAGATATAGCGTGGGACAAATATGTCCCACAACAAAAAAATACATTTTTTTCGAAAAATAATAAACAAATGAGTGTCGAAATGAGAAAATATGTTAAAGTAAGGACATACGAAGGCAAACCCACAGACAATTTTTTTTCGGCTGCATCGGTTTTTCAAAACAAAAAAAATAAAAAATCACATTTCTGGACCCGTTTGGAAAAGATAATTTTGCTTAAAAGATAATTTTGCCTGGTGACGACACAAATTCATATATTCACAAAACCTGCCATAATTTTGAAAGTCCATGACATACTGATTCCTTATTCGCAAAAAGCATCGCCCTATACTAATTCGTTCAAATTTGGGAGGATTTTGAAAATATGGGACAAATACGTCCCTTGGTCCTGAAAGGGTTAAACTGATGTGACACTATCACAATAGCTTTTTAAACCGAAAATGTCATCAATGGAGGTACGAACTCAATATATATTTTTAACCTGACGTCAACCTTATGAATACTACGTAATTAGGAATACCACTTTAACAACGCTACCTAGTTCGGATTAAAACACGGCCCTACCAATCTTCATGTATTGACAGCGTCATCCCCACCCCCAACCAAGAAACTGTTCACCCAATGCATTATTCCCTGTTTTTCTCATTGTTAAATGAACTTCACTCGTCCGTTTGATCTTCAATCGAGTAATTACTGTTCAGCTCTACAGGAGATTCTCACAAAACATTGACTCATTGATAAGTATAACAGTATAACGAGCATTATGGCTAGCATGATCTTTTTGGTTCCCATCTCAAAAATTATCTTCAATCGAGTAATTACTGTTCAGCTCTACAGGAGATTCTCACAAAACATTGACTCATTGATAAGTATAACAGTATAACGAGCATTATGGCTAGCATGATCTTTTTGGTTCCCATCTCAAAAGTTATCATAACCACCTCATTTCATATATGGCTGGGACGCGAATTCAATCAGTGGATGAAAAAGTGTTGCTCTGCCTCAAATAGAAGTTCATCATATTGGGCGACTTCCTCTTTCCCAGGAAACCTCAATACCCAAAAAAAGATTACAGCATCCGGTCGATGGATTTTTGAGCCGTCGCAACATCCATGCAGTTTAAGCAGGCCTTTGTCTAAAATTCCTTCTTTTTTAAGAACTCGATTTCGATTTTCCAACTCAATACCCAAAAAAAGATTACAGCATCCGGTAGATGGATTTTTGAGCCGTCGCAACATTCATGCAGTTTAAGCAGGCCTTTGTCTAAAATTCCTTCTTTTTTAAGAACTCGATTTCGATTTTCCATTTAATTTCTCAAGTTGAGGTTTCTGAAACGTTGATTAGAATCTACGAACCGACAGTACCAAAATGATGCTGCAATGAAGGTCTCAAAATTCTCCGAAATTTTATCTTTACATTAGATCAAAGCTAAAAGCAAATTTCCAGAAACATTTTCATTTTCCGATTTCCCCAATTCCGAGACTCATCACGCTCACAACTTTGGTGTACAATCTTAGTATAGTGTCCTTTTAGTATAGTGTCCGCGTTTTCTCAAAAGTAAGTGAACTTGTGAACGCATTGAGCATTACAGACATTCCACGAGCGTGAGGTATGAGTTTCCTGTTCTTTAACATCGACTAAAATTGGGCGTCATTTCATCATACTCGGGGGCTGCCTGAATGCGAGTGCTGATTTCCATCATTTCGCCTCCAGGACATTTTCCAGGGAAAGAGAGAATCGGTGAGGACTGAAGTCCCTAATTATCACTAACTCCCTCCTTCATTTCATCGGTTTTTATCAAGGCCGACAGTCAATCCTTGCTTTGTCCTATGCCGTGATTATTAAAGGCGCGATTGGTGTCTGTTTCCCTCCTCCCACAATACTGGAGTCAGAAAAAAAAGCACATATTACGAATATTAAAATATCGCAATATGCAGACATATTTCCGATGAGACAAGCATCGAACGATATCGTGTTATCGCAATAATCGGAACAACCCAAGTGCTTACCATCTGTGTTTTTACTAGTTACTCACATTCGACGTACGCCTGGAACCCTTCCGGTGGGACCAGCTGGGCCCTGCTCTCGTACACCAGCTGACAGGAACCATCCGATTCCCTGAACTTGAGGGCGGCGCGCGTATGGGATTCCTCTTTCCAGACGCAGATGTTGCATTCCGCGAAGTCAGCCACATAGAACTCCTCCGACGAGTCCCCGTATTGCTTCCCATTTGGCGTTGCCCAATTCTCCAATTGAGGGCGGCGCGCGTATGGGATTCCTCTTTCCAGACGCAGATGTTGCATTCCGCGAAGTCAGCCACATAGAACTCCTCCGACGAGTCCCCGCATTGCTTCCCATTTGGCGTTGCCCAATTCCCCAGGGGGTCCATGGCTGAACCAGTCCAGAACAGACAGGAGTATGCTCCCAATATAAAAGTGTAGTCCATCTCCCTGATCTAAAGGATAATCAAGCAAACGCATTTTCATGGATTGAATCCCAATAGGTGCTTCAAAAAAGTTACACAACTGCAACGATTTAATACGTTTAATGTTTAAATCACGGAATGATAGACTTACACTTTTTTCTTCTTTTAATGGAGGAAAGTCAAGCTAAATTCTGATATGTATGATGTGATACTGAATAAACACATTTGTGCCGAGATGTTTCAAGAAATCCCATAAAATACTGCATCCTCTGTAAAATGGTTCGCGAAGTTCGGATTAGGATTAAGTTCTCCTGAAGTTATACTACATATTGGAGATGTCTCGAAAACCTCGAGTTGATCTTCATAGTCCTGATTGACCCCCTAAGTCGAAGGCTCAAATACTTTCAAGCGAAATGAATATTGGAGGCATTACGATATGGTGAGTCCATTGATAAAGTAATGCCTGCGCTGCTAGGTGATTGGGTGAGTCGGGACGTGAGGGAGGCTGTTAAAGAAAGGGAAATCCTTTCCTAAATGGTTTTCGCTTCATATCATTGGAAGCCACGTTAATTGTGCAATCGGCTGTCTTCAGCCCTGTGATGTTTTGATTCCTACTTTGAACGTTCGGTGATTCAACTTGATTCTCCTTTCAGCGACTTTGCTGTTTCTCTTCTTCCGTGTCGATCACACTACGAAAATATTTACCGGTAAACAAATGAGAAAGGAGATGAACATTGAAAGATTGTCGTGGGTTGTTTCGGATGCAGTCCGAGGACAGAGCTATATGGCATAAGAATCTGCATGTGTGGTGCACTTCTCACAGGAAAACATCAGTCTTGTACAGTTCTTTCATGAAATCCTCTAAATGAAGCGTTCATAATATACAGGTAATAATACCTTTGCTGCGATGTGGTAAAATGAGACATGATTCCAATATTTCAATATGATGTGAAGGGTTGCAGGGTGATGGTACATGAAGGCGGTGGGCCTCAAACTTTTTATTTGAGGGCCTTACGGACCATTATGTCAACTTTTAGTGGGATTCATTGAAAAAGATACAACATAAGTGCATGGCTTATCCTTCGTCTATCTATCATTGACTATCGATGTTGTAGTCACGCTGCTCTAAATTGGAAAGTGCGATTTACAAAATGGACAGCTGAATCAGAATGCTGCCTATTCCTACTGCATTCTGCTGCTTTGTTACAAGTTGTATTTTCCATGAATACTATTTCTTTCTCCTTCATTTACATTTGAGGAAATACATTTTTCTCTGCAGTATATGGATGTTCCAAATTTTAGGCATGTTCGACAGGTGCACAGCTATGGCCTGAGCGGATGCACTGGAAAAACTGACTTTTCCTTGAACTCAGCATCACGTCTGTTGTGATTGCCAAGTCTCAACTTTCTATTTCTGCGAACATCACTAGGGAAAAAAATTTTTTGAATACGTTACCCCTAACAAATATGCATCCGAAACTACGCATTTCTTCTGAACCATGTCTCAATAGGCACGTTTATGCTAATTTTCAGGTATACATGTCTCTCCGTTTAACTGAAGGATGTATTTGATAACATCTGTCCCCAAAATATGTGCCCCTGCGCATGTACCTCCAATGTCGAATTTTTTACAACTCTATATCTCAATCGGTACTTACGTCCCAAGTTTCATCCTTCCATCAAATATAGAGCATAGAATAAGCGTCAGTGAAGCATTCACGATCGTCTATATAGGCTTATACCTCATATATTAGATAATAAATGCTTGGGGCTCTTTGTTCTTTTGGGAAGGAACACTTTTTCGCCTCGATGAATCTCTACCCCATATTTATCGGAATCTCGGCCTAGAACAATATCCTCGGCCTTCTCACAAGAAGAATGACACGCGAGGGTGAAAGCGGCGGGATTCCATCTGGATGGGATAGAACAGTAGTGTTCTCTCTTCGATCGGAAAGACGCCCTCGCCCGCGTCGTAACCATACCGTTTCTCTAACGCATATTTTACTTCGTGGCTAACATGGAAAATGATGAAGATGGATATGAGAGACGATACGCACAGGGTCACGATCGATACGGTGTGAAAGTGCCGCTCACTAAAAGCCTGTATCATAGGCTTATACACCACCGTAGGTAAGGGGGGAAGAGATGCGCAAATACGTACGATGTCCGAGCGGCTCCAGAGTAGAGCGTTGATAGCTCTTGAATACCCAAAAATGATATGCGCTGAGCTTAGACCGAGCCTGAGTTCGTGGAGGTCTTCGACGGGTCTCCGTCTCACTTTCGAGCGAGCAGTTTATTTCGGGCCTTCGCGACTGTCGGATCCGTCCTCGGGAACGGGAGGGACTCCTCTCTTTAACCGTTTCGTCTCCTCTCTCTACTGTCAGAAGACCCTTCAGGTCTTCTGACAGTAGAAAGTGGGGGGGGGGAGGGGAAAGCTGTTACATTTTGGATGAACGAGGCGGTTACGTTTTGTATAGATACGCAATACACTGAGAAAGGTTAAAGAGGGAATTATTATTCATGACTCATATGAAATTATTCCTGGAAGATTAATAGCGAATGGAAGAAATTCGGCAGAAATAGTTAAGATTACCACGTTTTTTTGCAGACTCTTCACTCAAGTAATATTGTCGACACTAAGAGAGGTTCACAGCCACCAGTCCGATAGACTCCGTCACCGGTTTCCTCAACGGAATGGCCCAACATGCGTCCCCCACATCCATATGCCCATGATTGACTGACTCCGTGACTCGTGATTGGTTCTCCAGACGAAACTGCGAATCGATTCCGTCGCACGTGGGAAGGAAAAAAGAAGAAACTTTTATATTTCCAGGGAGTTGCCAGGGGACCGATAATAGCAGTGCAACTCCTCGATTATTTCATCAGTGAACCAATTAGCCCGCATTTTCTCCTTCCTGTGTCAAAAAAAAGAACATTATCCATAAGATGAACAGATCACGTGCTATCCGCGAAAGAGGCAAAGATTGTCTAGGTCGAACGGCATGAATATTGAATGCTCCTTCGTATGACTAATGGACTTCCCATTCAAGGTTCTTCGATAGATCTACCCTACACTCACGTTCCAAGGTTACTTGGCAAATGGTACGAGGAAAGTGCTCCGTCGAACTACGCCCACATACGCCTGACATATTCCTTTGCTACTGTTTCAGGCTAGGAATTTTTTTCCACAGGTTTTGGATCTTTTCCTTGAAGAATCTTTGAAGTTTTCCTTTCGTTTGTAAAATTTCGTTCATTTGAATTTAAAATCTTTACAATACTTTTCATTGCCCAAAATTTATTTATCTAATATATATAGATGATCGTGATTGACTGACTGACGCTAATTCTAACCATGTTCTAGAAAGGTTAGAAATCTGAAACTTGGTACACATGTACCTTTTGGGATGCAGAGTTCAGAAAAAAATCTGACTTTGGAGGTACATGCCCTGGGGGTACACATTTTGGGGGAAAACGTTTTTCTTAAATATATTTTGTGACAGATGAGGATGGCATTCAGAAAGCCAATGGGTTGTACTGGGTTCGGTGGTGTTGTGGTAGCACACCTGACCAGCAATCGGGAGACTCAGATTTATATCCCAGCCATTTCTTGGCTTTCTTTTTACTTTTTTGCCTTCCATGTCCCGTTACTCATTCCCCTTCCATAACATTATTTTTGCTTGAGTAAAACGGAGAGACATGGACATCTGAAACTTGGCATGGACATGCCTACCGAGACGATGAGTTTAGGAAAAATGCAAAATTTTTTATTCATGTCCTGTGGGATATTTTTTGGGGTCGACGTTTTTAAAGTAATTTTTTTTGCCCTGGCGTATTGAGCTAGTGTGGAAAGATGAAACTTGGTACATAACTACCTATTGGGATGCTGTGTGCAGAAAATTTCAGACTTTGGAAGTAAATGCCCCGGGGGCACACATTTTAAAGGGAAATATTTTCAAATAATTTTTTTGCATCAGTTAAACTGATGAACATGGGAAGTTGAAACTTTGCATGAATGTGACTACTGAGACAAAGAGTTAAAGGAAAATGTGGGAATATGGAAATGGAAAGGTGAAGCTTGGCACATGTATAAGTGATATGGTACTAATGAGTTGATGGAGTATTCAGCTGTCATGGTGCATCCAATCCGGGCATAGCTTTTGGGTGGGTCGGCATTTCCAAACATGATTTTTCACCAGGGAAAAGGGCAAACGAAATCGTGTCTCTCCTTAAAGAGATTCGAAATCTCCCTGAATTCCACTAAACCCTACGACCTATACATACTGCACTAGTGTAAAAGCCTGTCAACGCACGGGACGAAAGAAGTTTAATCAAAACATGAAATTAAATTGTATTCATGGACTCAATACACAATTACGGCTTTTCAAACTTATAGAGTTCATGTGGAACAAAGTGAAGTTGTATGACAAAAGTTTTGGAAATTTTCATGAGTTTCAGATTTCCCAATATATTTGTCTTGCACGGTTTCCCCTGGTAAAGGCACGCTTTGCTACCCTGTCATCTTGCACAGAATGCCCTTTAGTCTGAATCGTTCCAGCCAAAAATGTGTTTCTGTAATAGTGTGTATATAGATGACTCTGGAGAGGCCTTCGCTGCATTGAGAGTTACAATTGCTTCCGCCATTTTTTGACTGTCTCGCGGGCCGGATCCGCCCAGTGGAGGTGGTTCATCCGACTCGTGGTCAGCACTTGAAATGTCCGCTTGAATTGACTGTTAACAGAAATTTCAATGGAAAACTATGGCATGCATCTGCAAGGTAAGGAATGCGGCCCGCCGACCGGTGTGAGTTTGACATACCTACCATATTGCATCTTACATATTTTTCCTTCGCTGAATTGGTCTTCAGCTATACCAAATCATGACCCCTTTTTTCATTATTTCATGGGCTATATAAAATTTCTCAATGTCGAAAGTTTCAAGGTCATTGCACATAGTATTGAATACAAAGCGAACTATACTCAACAGACTTCTTTAACTAGGAATTTACACTTCCAAAAGCGCTGTTTTTCTGCTACGAAGAAAGATCCTAAAAGAATGAGGAAATCAAGTTAAATGCTAGGTTTTAAGTGCCTCGCGTATAGGAATGTTGAAATTAATTAATAATGCTAGTAGCACATCGCGAGTCACATGAGCTCGCCCATTCCATATACAGGGTGACACAAAAGTTCTGTACACTCGGTTATCTCAACTTTTTATAACCATTTTTAAAGAACTCACAAATGGGGACAACGCTATTAGAAACTACAACCATTTCAACAGATAATGCCCGCAAATTCATTCAAAATGACCACCTTTTGCTGTAACACAATCGCGAAGTCTCTTTCGGAATGCATCGACTGCGGCACGCAGGGTTTCCTGGGGGATTTTGATCCATTCCGTTTGAAGGGCACGCTTCAGGGATTCGAGAGATGCATGGGGAGTAGCACAGGCTTTGCTCTCCAAGATGCTCCACACGCAAAAGTCCAATGGGTTCAGGTCTGGACTATAAGGAGGCCATTCTGCCGAGGTGATGAAGTCAGGGAATTCTTTTCTGCAGAAGGCCTGAGTGATTTTTGCCTTGTGGGCTGGCGCAGAGTCCTGTTGGAAAGTCCATTTGCGGTTTCCGAAGTGCTTTTTGGCCCAGGGCATTACAGTATCCTCCAGGATAAGGTCACGATAGGCAATCGCGTCGATCTTCATGCCAGACGGCACAAAAACCAGGGGCGTGGGCCCCTCTGCAGTGATACCCGCCCACACCATCACAGAAGCTGGCATCTGTGTTCGAGAGACACGTCGGAGGTCTTGAGAGATACCTGACGACTCTGCTGCCCATACTCGATAATTTTGAGAGTTAAATGATTGCTCGATCGTGAAGAGCTTCTCGTCAGAAAAGAGGATATTGCGATGGCAGCCATCTGCGAACCTGAGAAGGTCCTGGACCTGAGAAGGTCCTGCGATCGTTGCAACCTAGTTTTCTTCGCTTGCTCCGTGAGATGTTGAGCGTTTTGGAGTTTGAAAGGCCGAAGATTCAGCTTGCTCCTGACAATTCGCCGGAGCGATTCGCGATTTATCTTAGTCGTTTGGGCCATTTTTCTCAGCGATTGCTTGGGATTTCGACGAAGTCGAGATCTAACCCTTTTGATGTTGGCAGTGGTTGACACAGACTTCGGTCGACCTGATCGATGACGATCTTCTGTAGAGTTTGTCTCAAGGAACCGCTGAATTGTACGTTTGATGAAGTTCCGGTAGCCATTGTTCTGGAGCAGTCGGAAAATCTCGGTGGGAGACTTCCCAGCTTCGTGCAAACTGATCACAGCCGACCGACGATCTTCATTGGACAATGGCATGACGAAACTGATAGTTTCATCAGCACTTTGAGAATCCCCTAAGTCGCGCGTACCTTAAGCTACGTGTAGAAACCAAGCCAAGCATATATGAACGTGGTAGCTTAGAATCGAGAACAGTTTTTTAAAGTGTACAGAACTTTTGTGTCACCCTGTATATCCAAATGCTTCAGGAGATACAGAATGAATGCCTGCTCGTCATTTCAAACTCAAATTCATCACTCGGAAAAATGTCTAAAAGGCAGCCAACCAATACCAAAACGAATGTGCTTATGTGTCAATGTAAAGGAGGCATAGTTCAGGTGTGATTGGTTACAATCATACCTGAAAAGCTTCAGAGCAAATGAGATTTTTCTTGGATAATTCATCAATGCATGATTCCATTTTGCCGAGATACATTCATTTCCGAAACGCCCGTCTCAAAAACAAGTTTATTTCCAAGATTCCGCTCCCTAATAGGGGAACACCAATAAAGAGAAACCCAACAACCCAAAGAGCTGTTGATGTGAAATTGAAACCACAAGAAGTAAGAATCCAAGCACACACAATCAATGTAGAGACCCAGTGAGCCAGTGTAATATTTTATCGTTCTCAAACATGTGATTGTAATGTCCAGTGCAACCCCAAGTTTTGCAGGAAAAAAATGAAATAGTCCATGACTTCTTATTAATTCACCTCCTCCTCTTCCTTTCTACTTTCTTCAGTTGATCCTCAACAACACTTCCTGCAATGGGAAATAATCATAGAGTTATATCGCATTTCCCAAAAACATGCTAGAATGGTCGAACGAAGGTGCAATTTGCATAGTTCGGATTTACTACCGCAGACATCGTGAGCCTAGACTGCGTTACGTTATCATTAAGTGATTTTGGTGCTTGTAGAGAAATAGTTTTCCGAAAATGTTTGGAAAGACGCAGCTCCCTCGCTACTCAGCTTTATTTACTAGTTCTTGAACCAGCCGATAATATATAATCAAGCACTAATGCATACGATGCATTATAATAAATATTAGGACAATGACAAATTTCAAAGCCGAAAATCAATGGACACAACAAGCACGGGGACACAATATTCAAATAAAAATTATGCGATGAAACACGAACAGATCACGCACTTAGTTTTGACTTGCTCAGACTCTTCAATGAAAATGCTATTTTCAAATATTACTCAATCAGTTGATGTATGATCTCACACTTGCTGAATATGTATCATTTCTGCAATATTTACCTCGTAGTTCGGGTGATACACTTGAAACATGAAATTGAAAACGATGGGATGTTCATAATGTGTTTTAGGAAAATTTAAAGCCACAGGCATTTCAATTGTCCACAAGTTGTGCTCGCAAATAATACTTGCATTTTGGCAGTTCCACGCAATATTAGAATATTATTCTGACCATTTGGTGCATTCCCTGAATTTAAATAAAGATCCAATACATCAGGGCAAGAAATGAGAAAATCGTTAATCGGAAACAGTGTTTACGCTGTTCTTTCTGACGGTCAGAAATATCCAAGGGTAATCAATGGACACACCTCTCAGGTCCTTTGGAGATAAATGAATCAAGAATCAGAGGGTGCCAAGAACTTTCTCACATCATGGTGGACAGATGATGGCCTCCTCCTCTTCCAAGAATGTGGAGCACCAGGCGTCTGGAATGCTGGCGCAGCATCTCGCATTGTGAACGTCAATGTTGTCTGTAAAATTATTTGGGCAGGTGAAGAGCACCATTGCACCTTTCGGGGCTGGGTACTCGCCCGTCCAATTCAAGTAAGACTCCTTCGCGTTCTCGATCCTCGGGTATTCCGTCAGGCACAGGACTGCATAAGATGTCAGGTCACAAAAGACCACGTTAAAAGTCGCAGCAAATGCAGGCGCTGCAACTACTGGGTAAGCCAAAATAATTGCCAAAGATTTCCAATTTTTATTTAATTTGGTTGACAAATAGGGTGACTTAGGATTTGTGCAACAGGTCTTTAAAAAAAATTCCAGAAAATGTGAGATTGCCATTTAATTTACATTTCCTCGCCAGAAAAGAATGTGTTCATTTTTTATTTCAGCTTAAAATCTTTCAGATTGGTTGAAAGTAATTTTAAAAAAAAAAAACAGAACAAAAACAAATGCACAAGTGCCAAAACTAAAGCCCGCAGTTTGGTTTAGGGACGTACATTTCAACTAAACATGTGCTCAATGTGTCCTCCATTCTGTTAAACTCTAGCCTCAAGTCTACATCAACCACAGATCGATGGTTCGGTCAAGTAACCTTCCTGGACGTGCCTTCCAATCTTCCTTTGTACCATCATGCAGGGATGGAAGTTCATGAATTCGGACCTCCCATTCATCCCAGCCTGAAGGAAATATCGACAACAACCATCCAAAAGACTCAAATCTCGCATGACTCGAGCCCTATCCGCCTCCCAACTTGTAGAAAAACATAGTTTGGTGTCGCTGGCAAATTTACTCATCATACTCTCTACGTCTTGATCCAAATCGTTTATGTTGACCAGAAACAGAAGTGGTTCCAGGACCGAACCCTGAGGGACCCCGCTTACGACACCGACCAAGGTCGACTCTTCCCCATTTACCATTACTCGTTGCTCTCCTCCGGTCAACCAATTTCTGATCCACTCGCTCGTCCTACCCTGGATTCCGGGCGCCTCCATTTTAACCTGCAACCTCTTGAGAGGATCGGTATCGAAAGCTTTCGATACCGTTATGTATATACGATTTCCACGGAATTTCTCTCATCCCTCTATTCTGTCGCCAAATCGTAGAATTCGAGCATGTCGGTGAGACTATTACGAAGCCTCCTAAAGCCGCGCTGAGAGTCCGGGATGACCACGTTTCCTTGGAGAAAATCCAAAATGTGGTCCCTTAGGATGATCTCCATGATCTTCCCCTGTGATACTCTTAAGGCTTTCCGGCCAATAATATCCCGAAATACTCTTTTCTCCTTTCTTAAATTTCGTTAAGACGTTCGCTGGCCTCTAGTCCTTGGGTACTACACCGCGCGAAAGGCTGGTTTCAAATATGATTCTTAGCGGAGCGGATACTTCACTCGCAAGTTCCTTGATGACTCGAACTGGAATCCCGTCGGGGCCGGTCGCCTTGCCAACCTTTCACTTCCCTATCATGCTCACAATAGTCTCCTCGGTGATGGAAATATCAGTCCAAAATCCCGCGCTGAAGTCACGTCTTCCAAAGTCGGTGCTTCGTCGGATTCCACAATGAAAAGGGAAGCGAACAACTCGTTAAGTATCCCAGCCATATATTTATCACCTGCAATCGATTACCCCCCCCCCCCTTCATTATAGGCCCTATCGATTGTTGACACCTACCACCAGCCTGTCGATAAAAAAAACCTTGGGTTTCTTCTTAGCATTGCATATTAGCCGTTCCTTGACCTCCCTTCTGGCAAACCTGATTTCCCGCTTCAACGACCTCCTTTCCTCTCATGGACCGTTCTATCTCTCATGCTCTTATACGTATTCCATTTCCGCTTCTTATCCCTGATGAGCGCTTTGACTTCATCCGTAAACCAGACCGGTTATCTGGCCGATTTCAGGGACTTTTTGGGTCTGAATTCCTCCTTGAAGCCTTGCAATAACTTATTCAACCACCTCCCTCCCATTTCTCCTCTACCGTCTGCCCATGGAACTGCACCTCCCAGTCGATGCCTGAAAAGCACTCACTTAACGTTTCGAAAATTATTATTCTTGTAGTTGTACGAATCCTTCGCGGGTTTGGCGTTCCTCCTCTTCCGTTTGATATTACACTTATTCGCGCAGTGGTGCGAATCTCTGAAGTTATCCTGTACCTTAACGTTTTGAGCTGCTGAAAGATCGACTTCATAGAGGATAGAACATTACACAAAAGGAGAACGATCTCTTCATAGGTATGTTTGTTCTCATCTTGACTTATCCCTCCAGCACTCACATTGGGCGAATGCCTTGAACCCATCCGCTGGGACGAGCTGGGCACTGTTCTCGTACACCAACTGACAGGATCCATCTGATTCTCTATAGTTGAAAGCGTAGCACGGCTGGGACGCCTGCTTCGAAACGCACGTGTTTTTGCATTCCGCGAAGTTAGCAACCTGGAACTCGAAGGACACGGTCCCGTACCGTTTCCCATAGTGCGTTGGCCAGTACACTAAGGGTTCCAAGACTGATACAGTCCAGAACAGACAGGAAAACACTCCCAATGTCAAACAGTACTCCATCTTCCTGTTAGAAAGAGGTAAACCAATATACTGGGTGTATTGATGAGTATAAGTAACATCCTATTTTTAAATGCTTATAATTATTTCATTTGTTTAACGGAATTTAATGTCGATTATTCCTTCTTCCATTTCATGAAGCAACAAAATAGGTTTTCGGAAAGTTTCCTTCATCTTGGTTGTCGGAATAAAATTCACAGTTATTAAGAATGGAGTCCGCTCGCAGCCCTAACTTATACTTTGCGCCTTTTTGCGCCTTCTTTCCGTGGGGCTGGGCTAAAGAGGGGGTTTTTTGTACTAAACCCAGAAAGTCTAATGAATTTGAAGAAAGAATTAACAATGTTCTCAACAACTTACCTCGACAAATTTTACAATGAACAGTGGGAAACATACCTGTTAGCTTAAAGAAATGTGTCCACAAGGAAGGAGCACGAGGAGGAAGTGTAGACGAATAAAAAACCCCTTAAATGGTGTATTATTAACAGTATGCTTCATTACATTCGGTTTGGAAAAAAGGAGATTTATAAGCATTTCAAAATGGGGAGTTACTTATACACCAGTACAATTATGATCTTGAGCGACTGAGATGTCTGAAATCTTAAATTTCGTGCAGAAGTAACTATTGGGATGCTGAGTTCATAAAAACTCGTTTTTTAAAGTACATGTCCATTTTTTTTGGGGGGGAAGCGTTTTCAAATAAATATGTTTACATTAATCAAAGGTAGAAACATGGGAAGCTGAAACTTGACATAAACATGCTACTGAGACACTAACTTCAGGGAAAAATCCAGTTTCAGATGCGTGCCCTGGGGACATATTTACTTGGGAGTGACGTTTTAAAATAACTTTTCAACGCTACCGAATTGGGCAGAAATAGCAAGGAGACGTGTCGCACACGCATAAATGACGTGATGTTGATTTCAGATAAAATTCAGATTTGTGATGCATTCCCTCAGGGCATAGCTTTTGGGTGAGTCATATTTTCCAAGCATGTATTCACCAGCGAAAAGGGAAAGCATGTAAGGTTAAAATGCATGGGCATGTCGTCCTCAGAGTACTGATTTCAGTCAAAATTGTACTTTATACGTAAAACCCGTCTGGGCTAAACCCCTCTTGCAAGTGGCGCATTTTCCTGAATCTTTTTCGATCCAACGAAACGGAGAGCGATAGAAAGTTAAAACTTGGCTCAGAGGTACGTGATGGATGGCTGAGTAAATATAAAAGCATTCTTTTGAAATATATCCCGTCATGGTGGATCATGGGAGGGGAATACTTAAATATTTGATTCTCCTCTCTAATCAAAAGGGACACATCAATATATTTCATGTTAGGCACACAAGAAAGCATCGCAGTAACGATTTCGTTGAATATCTCAGTAAATTTTTTAAAATTCGAAAATGAAATAATGGTTTAATCACTATATTGGATAATGGAACGCCGAAAACGCTACCATACCCAGTTCGTTTCCTCGAAGGCGAAGGAAACTCGATAGTTCTCCTTGCTAATCGTCCCCCTTTTTTATTTTAGACCTCCAAATATATCTGAGGAACTTGCACAAGTGTCCATCGTTTATATGAAAGAAAGCGTAAAGAGTGATCATGCTTCCGGAACATCTCTCGGTTCAACTAGCAGGGTAGAGTCACCCGGCATATGACATATACGAAGGAGGCATTCTCTTTAAGCATGTAATATGACTCAGGGTAAGGTGCAGTGAAATCAAATATGGTTCAAACATTTGCAAAATGCTTCCAGTGGATTGTGGGAGTAGAGATATAGTGAAGCGTGAATTGGTGTCTATTGCTTTCCATGCCGAGAGCAAATAAAAAAGCTTGAACTTGAACTCAAAGTGGCGTTTATTTTAGTGAGAAGGAAACTATGATCATAGGCCTATTGAAGAACGTTATATCGCATTTTGCAGCACATTACCCTATTACGCACATTACCCCCAGCCTATCACCCTATAGATATAATGTCATTTTGCCATTTGCTTGGAAGAAAGGAAGTCTTTAGAAGAGTGACCACAATAAAAGGACATTGGCGGCTGATACTGCATATACCTCTTTGTATTAGGGTGTTGTTTCAATAGACCGACTATTCCAAGGTAAGACTTGCCCTGAAGAAGCACCGAATACAGAATGGCCAAAAATATCTAATATATATAGACGATCGTGATTGACTGACTGACTGACGCTAATTCTAACCATGTTCTAGAAATGTTAGAAATCTGAAATTTGGTGCCCGTGTACCTTTTGGGATGCAGAGTTCAGAAAAAATCCGACTTTAGAGGTACATGCTCTGTACGGATGAGGATAGCATTGAGTGGGCTTATTGGTTGTTACGGTTTCAGTGATGTGGCGGTAGCACACCTGACCGACCATTGGGCACTGTGGGTTCAATTCCCGGCTATTCCGTGGCTTTCTTTCTTGCTTCTCTTGCCTTCCATGTCCCCTTATTCATTCCCCCCTCCATAACATTATTTTTACTTGAATAAAACGGAGAGACATGGAAAAGTGAAACCTGGCATGGACAATGAGTTCAAGAGAAATGCAACATCTTAGATCCATGCCCTCGGGGCATATTTTTGGAGGCTGACGTTTTCTAGTATTTTTTTGCCATGGCGTATTGAGCTAGTGTGGAAAGATGAATCTTCGTACTTACATACCTATTGGGCTGCTGCGTGCAGAAAAATTCAGACTTTGCAGGCAAATGGCCCGGGGTCACAAATTTCAAAGAGAAATGTTTCCAATCAGTTTGAAATTATTTCAAATTAGGTACAGTAGAAATTATAGAAGTAAAAATGAAGACTTTCGTCCCCATATGTCACGTATTTCAATGGGGACGTACGTTTTACCCATTTCGCAAAAAAATAAGTGAATGAATCACTATCCAAGGTAATGGAGCCCAGAAAAGTGAGTTTGTTTGCCCGAAGGTGAAACAAACTCGCTAGTATAGCATAATTTCCGAATTTCAATTCATGAGTAGAAAGCTCCATTCCCTGCTTTCACAATATAATGATTTATAAATCGATTACGACAGGCTAAAGCACTTCAATGAGGAATTTCGGCAATTTTTTCAGAGACTACCTAAGCACAGATGAAGAAAAAAAGGAAATATTTAATTTTACGATTCCATATTTCTAGAAGTTAAAAAGCCAATGCTTAAAAGTTTTGGAGGAAAAGTATGTGTCACTAGTCTAGAAGAAACCTCACTCAAATAAAAGCGTCGAATATGAGGTAGCCTCACACAGCCGAGCGCTGGTCAAAGTCACTTCACCGCCTAAACTGGAGGACCCCACTTTGCATCCCTCACATCCACTGGTCGATGGTTGCCTGACTCCACCCGTCTAATGAATAGTCCTCCAAAAGAAACAGCGAATCGATCATATTGCACGTGGAAGGAGGCACATGAAGGAAATTCCAAATGCCAGACTTGACCTTTTTGGAATTATTTAAAATTCATGTGCGCGTGTCTGTGAGCCAGAGTTGCTAAGAAACCGAGAACACTATTGCAACCTCCCGCTCTTTTCAATAGAACTATGATGCCATCCATGCATCATTTTATTCATTAAACCAATTAAGCTCGTTTTTCTGCTTCCTGGGTTCGGAAAAGGGAGGAAAACGGCACAGCATCAGAATATCAGATCTTTTGCATTCAATGGAAGCAGTGGAGAGTGTCGAAATGGAAAAGGCATGAATATTGCATGCTCCTTCGTATGAGTAATGGACTTTGCTTTCAAGGTTCATCGATGCATCTCACTCTCATTCTTGTTTCAAGGTTGGTGGGACATGAAAAGAAAAACGGAGTCGGTCGATGAGCTTCCATATATTTCTGACTTATTCTCATTTTTCCTAATTATTTCAATATCTGGGAATATATATTTCTTATTAACGGTTTTGTTCCTAGAATAAGACCTAGAATAAAAACGATTGTTGGCATACAGCACACGGATCTTTGCATCATGCAGTCAAGACTTGCCGCGAAGAAGCACTTATCAAAATATGGCCAATACAATAATAGTTTTGTCATTTCTCACAGGATTATGTAAGATATCATTCATTCAATGAACGAGATAAATGCCTCTTTCCATGTTATGGAAATCGGCTCGTATCGAAATGGATTCTAGAAGGTAACGCATTTTTATCAGGTATTTCCGCCATTATAGTAATAAAGCACTAACCAGAGTAAAAAAAAACAGTGGTAAGCACTTTATGGTCATGATGAAACATTCCTAGAAGTTAACGAGTTAAACTTAGAATGTCTTAGAGAAAACATAGGACTGCAACAACTCTCCCAGACACTTCACCCTAACAAAAGCGTCGTCACTGAGAGAGAGTCCCACAAACATTCGCTAGACCAGAGTCACAACGTCACTTGAATAGGAGGCATTGCATTTCTCACATCCACTGGTCGATGGTTGCCAGATTGTACTCGTCTCGCGAATGTTACTACAAACCAAACAGCGAATCGATTCCGTCGCATATGGAAGGAAAAACAGAAGCATTCTGTCATCCAATACTTTCTTCGCCTCATATGAATATTTTGTGCGCATGTCTGCTAGTCGAAATAGCCAGGAAACCGAGAATAGCATTCCAATCCTTCGCTCTTAGAATGGGACGATGAAGTCATCCATTCGTTATCGTATTCATTGTACTCATTACGCTCGATTTTCTGCATCCTGGGTCTTGAAAAAGAAGGAACACCACGCAGCACGGGATGATCAGAATTAGTGTAGTCCACCTATCCAGTGAAGAGTGACTAGGGCGAAAAGGAATGAAAAATGCATGATCCTTCGTATGAGAAATGGACTTCGCTCCAAAGGTTCCTCCATGCCCTCACCCACTTTTCTGTTTCAAGGTTGGTGGGAAATCGAGAAAAAAGGGAGGCTGTCGATGTGGTTCCATATTCTTCTGACCTACTTTCATAATATAACTAATTTTACTTAAGATATTTTTTGAACGATCTGTTCCGAGAAGGGGCCCCTCTTTTGTTCTGAAACGTGCGTT